AGGACATTATAATTTTATGTCCAGCATCGCTCAAGGTTAACATTCCAAAGAAACAAGACACAACGGGTGAAACTAATAAACTGCCACAGCCCTCACTGACGCTTTGGATTTTACTTGGGCTTCACCAGTCTTTCTACAATATTCTTTTTCGGACCCAGGATCAGATCCTGGATCTCACACGCATTACTTGTCATGTATCCTTGGTCTCCTCTGATCTATAGTAATTTCTCAGTATTTCCTTGGCTTTGCCATTTTTTCCCTTTCCTCTCTCCCTTTGTCCTCTCTCTCCCTCATTCATACTAGGGACTGAACCCAGCCCAGAGCCTTCATATTGAGCCACATCCCTATTTTTTATTTTTCAATTTTGAGATGGAGTCTTGGTAAACTGCCTTCCTTGGTAAACTCATCTTCCTGTATCAGGCTCCCAAAATGCTGGGATTACAGGTGTGTGTTACCATGCCTGGCTGACCTAGCACTTTTAGAGAACATTTCTTGGGTATCTTGTAGAATGTCTCTCAATTTGGGTTTGTCTTATGTTTATTCACTGACACAGGCAGGAACTTTTGAAAGACTATCACAGAGCCATATAATCTTTTTAGCACATCATGTCAGAAGGCATGTCATCTTGAGGGCCGGCCAAATAGCTCTGCAGATTAAAGCGCCTGCAAGCAGGCGCAGGGGCCAGGGATTCAATCCCCCAGCCTGCCATGCCGACCCCACCCCTGAGGTGTGCTGAGACACCAATTAAGACTGGGTATATCTCTCAGGCTTTCACAGAGAGCACATTGGCCAAGCAATGGCCGTGACTCATCCACATGGCTGCACTGACAAAGGTTCTACAATCTGAGGTACAGGATCTCAGGATAAATCCTGAGGGGATTTCACTGACCTTCTCAGACCAAAAAGCTACAACTCTTATTGCACAGGTCCTGCTTTACCTTGGTCTTAACCATCCAGTAGAAAAGTATGAAGACGAAATATAGGAAGTAAAGCCATGCTATTATGTTGAGCTGTGGGGGACTAAGGTCAATAATTTCTGACACTGCCAGTTAAACAGAAGACCCAGTGCTATTATGGGCTACTGGACTCTTTTAGAATATTTTGCTGAGTTTACACACCTATAATATTCAATAACGGAACTTTGGAAAAATAGGGTATACAGATGAATGTCCATTTTGTATCTGTGTATTCAAAGTGGTTAGGATAGATATATAGTTGCATTCTCTTAATGAATAGAATGATTTGTTCTAATGGTGTTTGTAAATAGGATCTCAAGTCCGCATCTTGTACAGCAATTAACCACTAAGAAGAATATATGCAGTGTGTTATTTGTTGAAACTGTACTTCCAATTTGATTTGAAACTGTTTCATTGCTGTTTATCAATAAAATTTTGAAGAAAAAAAAAAAAAGACTGGGCATGGTGGCGCATGCCTGTAATCCCAGCTTTTCAGAGGCTGTGAACAGGTGGATCACTACAAGTCCGATCTAGTAGTGAGACCCTGAACACCCTCTAGACCCTTCCCTAAAATACGGGGGGGGGGGAAGGCATGTCATCTTTACTGTTTTATTACTGGGGATGCTAACCTTGACTACCTATATTAAAGTAGTGCACAAATACTATTCTTTGCTTTGTAAGAAAAAAATTTTGGAGGAGAAACATTTTGAGGCCATGCAGGTATCATATCTCACCTTAAGTGTTTTGCTCACTAACTGTAGCATTTATCTCCTGGCCTGCCTGCAATCGGTGCCACTCTGCAGAGGTGTTCCACATGGTTACCATTCCTCAATTTGGGTTTTACACTTACAATCAGAATTTCTCTCTAACAAAGAGCTGCTACCTGTTACTCTACTATGCATATCAATAATAGATCCTACTATTCCTTGGGTTATAAGCCAAAGCTATTGTTTATTTTGTTACCAATTTGTTTAGTTTTGGACTGGAACCTTTTTTGGAAGGCTGGCTCCTGTGACCTTTTGACTTTGTTACTCTTTGGCACCTCTGGTTCATCTTACATTCCCCTAAGCCATTTCTAAGACCAGTTTCTTCTCCACAGGGCCCCAGTTCCCCGAATTAAGAGCATGGTGTTTAGCAACTAATTTCTGAGCATTCTCAGATTACTGGGTATCATTACTTCAAGCACCTTTCAGCAGACAGAGCTATGATTTATACCAACTGATGTACATTATAAGCCTTCCCTTTTTTACTACTGAGCAGTATTCCTTTTTAGATGAACCATACAGTATATATCCATTCACCTATTGCAGAGCCATCTAGGTTATTCTCACTTTTTCATAGTAACAAAAAAACCCAGGAAATTATGTAAGTATAGTTTTAAATCACTTGGTAACAAACAGGGGCACTGGCGGGGCATATGGCAAATGTATACCTAACTTCTACAGAAGTTGCCCAATTCTTCCAAAGGGACTATCACTTTGCATTCCAATAAGGGACATGAGTTCTTATTGCTGTAACATTTTAAATACCACTTTCATTTTATTTTATTTTTTTTGGGGGGGGGAGTGGAACCAGGGATTGAACTCTGGCCCTTGTGCTTGCCAGGGAAGTGCTTATTCCACTCAGCCATCTCCCCAGCCCCTCATTTTATTTTTAAAATTTTAGCCATTCTAATAGGCACATAGTCACAACTGATTATGGTTTTAATTTTCAATTCTCTAATGATACAAAGCACATTTTTATATGGTTGTTACTTATATTGCCTTCCTGAAGTATCTGTTAAGACCCTGTTCTTGGGGCCAGGGAGATGGCTCAGTAGAATAAGCGTTCCCCTGGCAAGCGCAAGGGCCTGAGTTCAATCCCAGGTTCTGCAAATAAAAACAAAAACAAAAACAAAAAACCCCTGTTCCTGGAGGGTTCAGTGGTAGAGCACTTCCCTAACATGCATAAGACCCTGGTTTCAATCTTCAGCAACCCCTCAAAAGAAATCTTGTGCTCATTAAAAAATCTTTTTTATTATTTTGAGAGAGCTCTAATTCAAATTCCTTTATTTGTATATGTGACTTGCAAATATTTTCTCTTAATTTGTAGGTTGTCCTTTGAATAGTATCTTTCACAGAGCAAAACAAATTCTCATAAATTCTAATATATCAATTTTTTTATAGATCATGCTTTGGTATAATTTTATTGGTTTTTTTTCTTTATAAATCATGCTTTAGTTTTTTTTCTTCCTGTACATTTCACAGTGTCACATGTGAAATTTGGGTCTATGATCCAGCTTGAATTAATTTTTATATAAGGTAAAAGTATGTATTAAATTTTCATTATTATACATATGGATGTTGAATTATTCCAACACCATTATCTGTAAAAGCTACTCTCCACTAAACTGTCTCATTGCTTAAAAAAAAAAACAACAACAAAACCTGAATACTGTATATTTACACAAGAATTAGTTATTTTCTGGGCTACTCTGTCCACTGATCCACTGGCCCCATTCTTTTGCCAATATATCACATCTTGAGTTACTGTAGCTTTACAGTAAATCTTCAACGTAGCTTTTGTTCTTTTTCAAAATTATTTTGATTATTGCTCTTTTGCCTTTCTGTATATATTTTACAATTAGCTTGATTACCACAAAAGTTTATTGCAACTGTAACGATTGTGTTTAATTTACAGATCAATTTGAGAAGTGAAATCTTGACAATAGTGAATTTTCAAATGC